TGGAAGCATTGGCAGTATCTTACGGTTGGTTCGCCGAGTTCCACCACTATATAACCCGTCATGTCTGACATGTCAGAGTCAGGCTGAACAGACGGCCCGAAAAGCTCAGACGATTGTAAATTTTTGATCACAAGTGGTGCAAGTAGGTATTGGTAAGCTTGCTGCTGCAGAGCTTGTGATTGGTTCGGGGCTACTCTGACGTTAAACTTGCCTCACTTTGTCCTCCGTTCACACATGGGGTGTGAAGTATAAATCCTCATACGAATTACCGGTAGGGTCTAATGAGGCACATACGCCGGTCTGATACCGTTATTGCGTCTTTCCACATTTGCCAGGACACGTTGAGCGCTTACTAACGATCCTGCACCAAACCGTAAAGAGGATGCTGATGTGTGAGCTAACATAGTAATCTGGCGGTACCAATCTGCCTTGAAAACTATACAGTGTGAACATTGCAGGCTGAACGGTGTGTCGCCATGGCCCTTGATCTATGAGCTCCCCACAGATGTTTCAGGGAAGCATATATGATGGCCTTCACCAAGGGTACAAGGCGCGCATAGAGGACTTCCTCTAATTGCCGGCTTCCCGGACAGGAACATGTTAGACCAAGGTCTCATAGCGATTTTGAGTTGAGTCTGTCCAAGCTGTATCTGAAGCTTATGTAAACAGACTGTTATGGTCCTCACTACAAGTTGTAATCTAGAGATTGAAGGTACCTTTTCGGTTGCATAGCGTACATAGCGGGAGGGAATTTGCGTCTGGGTCTTGGCTTTAGGTCACGGATGTAACGGTACCGGTACTCGACCACAGTATATCCTGGTTTGCTGCGGGGTTTTCCTTGGCTCTTGGCTACTACTATATACCATCTACCGTGTACGGTATATGGTATGTGTGTACTGTAAGAATATAAGCTATTTTGGTCACGGATAATCTATCGAGGATAGATTATGCGTAACTTTTTGGTTGTTTTGGTGTAGTGGGAGTAGATACACGCCTGACATGTACTGTACATATAAAGATCTTTCTTGTAGATCTACCGGTACACAGTACGCTGTACCTATACGCCACACTTCCCAGAGAATCCAGACTTTAGTATATATCAACTAATTTTCAAACAGTGAATTGTCAGCTCATCAGTGAACAGAAGTCAGATTCTAATCATAAATACGTCCTCGTATCAGAACCGAAGGTTGACGATAGCAACACAGTGTGCAGGAGTTACCGGTATACCGGTATAGAATGCATTTACCAAGTGGTGAACAACTTGGGAAGATTGCTCCGGCGCTGGATAGCGACAACATGGAGATTGGCACCCACTTGCTGACATAACACATCTACTCTGGCTTGGCCGCAGATGATTGCTAATATAAGTCTAAGGGTCTAGACTTTCGTTACGCGTAAGATGGGCACTGTCTATGGGCTATATCCGCCTTATACACATCCCTCGGTTGCGTTAGAGCACATCAGGCCGGGGATCATGCAGATTACCTACGTAAGGATACTGCGGTAGCAGGTAGTCACTTAGAACAACGTGGAATGCGGTGAACTAGCTACATGAGTATTCGGTCCTTGGGAGTGCCCAACGTACGTAGTAGGTATTCATCTAAATGTCCTTTACACTCGTGAGCGAATTCTTAATTATAGTATTTTGTTTGTCTACCCTGCGCTTCAATTAATAGCAGAGCCTCATATCTTGTCCCTGCACTATCTGCTGGTGATTGGCGGTCTTCAGCACGTCCCCTAGTATTCCTGACGAATACCTACCTTCAATATCTGCCCTTGTCCGATGCAAAAAAAGAACAGCCAGGGCAGTCTCTTATCTTAATCTACACAACCTCTAGGGTTGAAACGTAGGGAGAGAAGAGAATAGATAGGCATACATGGTAGTGAAAGAAGATTGAAAAAGAAAAACATTAAACAAAGCCAGTTCATCCTGTACCGGCGCCGAATATACTATCGGTTGCTACCTTCAGTCGGTTTGTAATGTGCATTTGTAATTAAGTTCGGTCCGTCACAGTCTGTATTGCCAGCATTCCTTCCAAAGAATGGAGTCTAGTGAGAGCTTGTACGTACGCTAGAACCATGTATACAAAGAAGACTCGCCGTTTTGATGCATGACCAATAAGGTCGCAGCTCGGTGCAACTAATCCAATAATAGAAGAGCCAAGACATAACCAAGTTCGTCTTACTGCATCCTCATCACGGTGAATACGAGAGGAATTGGAAAACAATAATACATAAATCCTGTGCCGCAAGCTCTTTAACCCAATCCTATCCTCTAGTCCTCTAGCTCTTACAATTCCCAAATAACAACGCCGATATACCTATACCAGTAATATCCAACATGATCTTTGCCACAACCGCCGTCATCTCCCTGCTCGCTACTCTCGGTGCGACCCAGTCACCCGCGCCACCCAACTATGGTGTATGGCGAGATGTCAGCATCACATCCACAAGCGGCAACGTCAGTAGGGAAACAAGCCAGACGGTCACGGCTGAATACACCCATTTTAATGCGACTGCGCCTATCTTCGCAACATGTCAGCTTTCACCCATAATCAGTGGCGAGGATTTCGCCAGGACCGTATGCCATCCGTCTAGCTTCTCATATTCGCTGGATACATTTGAAGTCAATGAGAACTACAAAGTTTTGAGTAAGTCGTTTTGCAGTCCGTGACATATTGTGTGACTAGACACTCATTGTGAAACAGGTATTTCTCTACACCAGAGAGTTACGGTGGGCGGCCAGAGTATGATGGTGACAGGGACGAGCGGGAGGTTTGAGCAGTCTTGTGGGGGAGGGGAGCGGGAGGTTTGCATGGCTAAGAGAGTAATTGTTGTTGCTGACAGGCGAGCTGATGAGTCCCAATAGAAATGCTTGGCGTTAGGTATCATTGCCCTCGTCGTACCCATTGAGATTGAGCATATGCCTGAAAATTTGTTCAAAGACTCTTATATTCTGTCACGAAATAATCCAAACTACTAGATAATTACGCTTTACTGGCAGAAATGGAGTTCGTACAACAGGATATAGTGCACGGGCGTTGGCGATGGATGTATTCGATGAGTAATTAGTCACTTGCATGAATCGCTACCTTACACTGGCATCAATGGATCACTTAGCTGACAAAGATCTTACTAATTCATCCCTCTTGACGAAGTGGCCTAGCTTCCTAAATACAGTCTACAATTGTGTTTTCTTAACAAGTCTAAATTTCGAATCATTTACATCGACTGAAGTAATCACTAATTGACCGACATCCAACTATAGAATCCGCCTAACCAAGGTAGCTAGCATCAGTCCAGCTCTTGTAGTCCTTGTCCAAGACCTCAGTAATGGCAATGGGCTTTTTCAGCTGTTTGACCCATTTAGGCCTCTTGCCGAGTGCACCCTTCCCGGTGTTACCATACTCACCAAAGAAGGCGTAGTCGTTTCTTGGGTCATTATCGTTCCAAGTACTCCATCCCACTTCGTTGATGACCGCGGACAAGTCGCAGTTCTGAAATACAGTACGAGCATGGTGACCCCACGGGCGACCGAGGGTGTAACTACCATCTTTGACCGACTTGTCTCGGGCGGCGGCTATACTGGAATTTTCGATCACGAAGATTGATTTGTTCGACTCATCATCAGCCCCATTGGCAGTGATATGTCCTTTTCCTTTCTCTTTAGGAAGGACGCCAATAGTGCAGCCATGGAACAAAGCAAAAGCCTCTTCGCCGAAGATGAAGTCCGTAGCTCCCTCGATGTAGCACTTTGCGTAGAGCTGCTTGCCGGTTTGGGCGAGGACAGTGTCCTGGTAACCAATGAGTTGGCAAGCGTAATAGGCTTGCTTGTCGCCGCTGGCACTGACAGCAAGCGCCTGGGAGCCTGCACCGCGCGTGTTCACCAAGTTGATGTTGTACACCTTCAAGTTGGGGGTGTGAGCCCGAAGTGTGGCAGTCTTATCATTTTCGTTCTTAAAGTTATCCTGACTCCTGCCCTGGGTGATCGTGACGGCGTTGGAGTTGTAGTCGCTGGTGTCAGAGGTCTCGCCATAGATGATCAAGGGTGATGCAATTTTCTCGATGGTGACTTGCTCCTGATATTTGCCCTTGGCAATATAGATGCACTGTGACTTGGGGTTCGATTTGTCGAGAGCATCGACAGCATCCTGCACTTTGTGAAACTTGCCCCCCTTTCCAACCGTCAAGCATCCATCAGGGGAAGAGTGGCGGGCAGTACGTCTCTCGGGGTGGGAGGGGGTAGCAACAGCTGCAACTGCGAGTGAAAGAATAAATCCTAGAGAGGGATGCATTTTGAAGTAAAAGGAGGTAACAGTGGACTACCGTCGTTGATGAAAGAGGTGATGGGATAGAAGGGCAGAACCTATCCTCTTTATATACACAGCATGTTCACACTCAAATGTAGTAGCACCATCGACCGTGTCACATAATTATCCGTCCAAATTACCCTCGTCGGTCCTTCAGGGACGGGCTTTGATACCGCTCGGAAGCATACCGTTCAATAGCACCGTTTGAGCGCACCCTTGACGGAGATCTCCCACCACTACAGTACAAAACTGGTTTACAGTAGCCATATTTATCTAAAGTAGACCAAGAAGTGGTTTAGGTAGAAGAAGTAAACCTAAATAGGGTTTATTATACCATGTATTCCACAAAAGTAAACTACTTTTATTTCTACTTCTATTAATCTACTAGTATTAGTAATAACTCGTTTCCTACTAACTATTTAAGTATTTTACCCCTCCTTTCTTTAATCTTCTTTACGCTACTATCAGCAGT